TAGTTGTCAGTACGAATCCCTGGAGTGGACGATCATTGTTTTTTCAAGTCGAAACCAATAACAGGTGTTTATTGTTTCTGCTTACATGAAGTACTTCACTCTTCACTAAGAAGTACTTCACTCATTTGATGATGTACTTGACGACAGAAATACATCCCTTTTCCTGTCACAACAAATTCCATAGAGAAAACCAACACATTACAACCAAACAATGAAGGTGATGTAAGACCACCACACACACACACACACACACACACACACACACACACACACCAGTATTTTGGATCAACTTATGTAAAATATAAATAGGGCTTAAATAGCTCTTAGTTCATCTGGTTCCTAACCTCCTCGTACCTGCAGGGGCGCTAGAACCAGCCCAGTCAGTGCAGCCAATTGCTGACATGGAGTATGCGCATGCAACAGAAATGTATCCAATCAGCGTCATCGAATCTGATGGTTTAAACAAGCTGACGGAGTGGATATCATGTGCTCAGCTGTGCACCTCCGCCACAAGGGGTCACTGATGTGACAGTCAACAGCCTTGTGTGTAAAATGTGTAAATATGATGAAGTAAGTAGTTTATCTGTTCGGCTTCTGGTGTTTGCACCACATGCTGTTTATGGTTTTGTGTAAGAATGGCCCAACTTTTAATAAAATCTCCAGGAGAGTTGGTGAGTGTCACATAAACAGTCATTCATCACAGGTTCAAGTTAAGAACACATACAGTCATTCTGCCTTTCACAATAAACACACACACACACACACACACAACAAGACGCCTATAAGTAAGTGTGATTATGTCATTGCATATCACATTAACACCTTTGTCGTTTCCTTGAATGTGTGTGTGTGTGATATCAGTTTATCTCCGTTTCCTTGAATGTGTGTGTGTGTGTGTGATATCAGTTTATCTACAGTGAAACCTAATCTCCACCATGTGCACTTCAGAGGAGAAGAAAGGAACAGCTTTTCGTTTCATGTGCTGAGAAGAGAACGTCATGTTCTGGAGACGTGACGATGAGGAGAACCGATAAAGAACAGGACAGAAACACTCTAAAAAGAGTCATCAGGAAGCTGAGAACGCCCCTCGTCTGGAGAACCAGTAGTGTTTCTTCATCATCGATGCACCGAAATAGATCTGAACTCATATTTTCAACAGTACACTCACCGAATGACAGACTAGAACCATGGACGGAGACAGCAGCGGCTCTGGGTCTTTTGGACCTGGGGATGGAACATTGACATTTGTCGAAGAAAAAAGAAAAATATATATTTTGGGAATATTGATTTAAAGTAGTAAAAATAAATAAAAATAGTCTTTAAATGTTGAATGTTTAAATGTTTAATGGAGAAAGTTAGCTCGCTCCCCTGCTGCCTCCTGTGGTCAGTTTGTGAACTGGGAGATTTAAACATCACAGTGATATAACAACAACATTGAACGTATGATCGTGGCAGCAGTAGATAAACAGAACCATTTAACTAGGATATAAATCTGACATTTTATCAGCGGAGTTTTGGTGTGTTTTTAAAAACATCAGTTTCATTTCAACAAAATAAACTGAATGCTAGGACTTCCATTTCTTTTTCATCGCACAAGTCCAAAGTAAAACAAACCAATAAGAAGGTGATGATTCTCTGCTGCCTCTTCTGGTCAGTTTGTGTCACTAACGTGAATGAAATGTTATTAGTGACACAACAAGAGATTTGACAACCAGCTAGGTCTAATGTAAAATTGATGATTTTCTCTATGGAATTTGGTGTGGGGCTGAGTGTGCTGAATGGGCTTAACACACACACACACACACACACACACACTCTGTGATGATATATTGAATGAAACAGCCAGAAGCCTCGATACTTGACCCAAAAACAGGTTCAAAGAGAAAATAAGTACTTGTGTTCTCACATGTCCACATTGTTGATTCACTTCTTTTCTCCAGTTCCTTCTTTGTGTCGGTGTGTGTGTGTGTGTTTGTGTGTGTGTGGGCACAGTTGAATTGATTGTTGTTTCAACCTTGGCCCAGCAGTTATCAGTACAATCTGGTTCTGTTACAGTCAGAACCTCACTCATGAGTACTGTGGTACTGTTTAAGCCTGGTTTGGTTCTCTTCACACTTCACAGGCTGGAAAGGGTTAAGGTTTTGAGCAAGTTTTCCCAAACAGAGGTCTATGTTCCCTTAGTGGTAGGTTAAGGGCATTGCAGCATTTTTGTATTTCAGATTTTTAGCTATAGTGTCAGTTTAATATGTACTTGTTAAAAGTACTTTTATTTGTAGTATATTTATTACGATTTCAACGTATCAGGTGATGTTGAAAATTTTTATTTTTAATTTTGAACCTATTTAGTAAGTTCACTGGAGACGACATGAAATGATTTACATTATTTATTTGTTATTACAAGCAGGTCGATTATTAATCATTAAATATATGAATTCACTAATTTGACATTAATTATGGACGAGGTTGAAAACACTCCACCAACACGTGTGAACCATGAACCAGCCTTTAAAATGTGTACTTAGCACCATCTATCGGCCAGAGAGGGAAGCTACACGCTGTCAATAACAAACTGCTAAGATGCAACTCAGTGATTGGCATTCAAAGATTTAAGCTAGTGCTTGATGTAACAGTACTTACCCAAACAAACAAAGTAAACAAACAAACAAACAAACAAACAAACCCACCAGTCACAGACGTTTAGAGGCGAAGTAAGAGTTAAACCCCAGTTCCTCTTCCTGTAGTGAAACTTGTTTCCACTCGCCTTCCTGACATTCCTGCAGGTCGAAGAAGATCAACTCCGTCACAGACACAGACCCGGACACAGACACAGACAGACCCAGAACAGTCAGCGGGGAGCAGTTCAGCAGCGGCTCGGCAGCATGTGGGCCTTCAGGTCTGTGAGGAGCCTCACTCTCTGCTGCTCACCACGGACAAAAGTGGGAATCTGGGCCGTAAGTTTCCAACGTTTGGCTCGTTTTTCTGTGAAATTCTGAACCCGAAGATCGTAAAGACCATAAGAAAAACATGTTTGAGCTAAACGGCGGGTTTCTGAGACAAACACGTAATAAAAATGCATGTCAATCAAAAAAAAAAAAAGTTAATTCGTGGTATGTATGTACGGTCTGTAATTTAAAGACTTTTAAACCATTTTGTAGCTAAAAAAACTGTTAACAATATAAACCGTCTGTTAAAACTGACGATAGTTCTATCAATAAAATCACGATTCCATAACGGTTGTTTACTCTGTGGTTTAATTGCAGTTTTTATTCTATAATATTTCAATGTTAAGTTGTAATTAAATCTAAATGTTTTTAAATTTTGCTTCAGTCCACTCAGGTCTTACACTACAGCAGTGGAGCTCCAGCTAAAGGTAAACTTTATTATTGTTAAATGAATGTTGTGTTTAACAAAAGTAAACTTTTTTCTTTTGTTCTTGTTTACCTTATTTACATTTAGTTTCAAACTCAAGTTTTGAAAAACACAAATGAGGAATTTAGTCTAAAATAAATGAGACTTTAATACTTTGTCTTTGCTTAATTTATTTCACCCGGGAATTTTATTTTAATGAAGTCTATCTATTTTAAGTTACGATCTCTCCCTCCCTCTCTCTCCCCCTCAGATGTGTCCATTAACTTCAGCCTTGGTCGCCCGGTCCTCTGTGTCCGTCTCCCTGCAGGGCGTCAGTGTCGTTTCACTCTCACGCCCATGTTGACCACGGTGGGAGATCTGCTGAAGAACATCTCAGCTGAAGATCCAGGAGTTCACTCTGCCGTGCTGCTGAATGGAGGTGACACTCAAACACAAAACTCAAATGTTCGGGTTGTGACGGTACGTGTATTTGTATTTGTCCCTAACTGTTCGGTACAGATACATATGTGTACCAAACGTACGAGACGATACGCCTGTGTAACCATATGTCTTCGAGCGTGTCGAGGGGAACTTTGTTAATGCAGAGAGTAACAAAGTCCAACCTCCGCCGGAACACAACTACAAGGAGACCTAACTACCGACTTTACAATATATATGTATATATATGTATGTATATGTGTGTATATATGTATGTATATGTGTGTATATATATACATATATATATATATGTATATATATACACATATATACACATGTAATGTGTACATATGTGTATATCACCTGACGAGTTTTTTTGGCCTCAGATGGACAGAGGATTTCCTCATGCACTTTCATGGAGACAGTTCTGAGTAAAGACTTTCAGCTTGTCATCAATGGTGTCACGTACGACGTTCGTTCTCCTGGAGAAGGTAAAATCAACCAGTGCCTCCAGGGGGCAGTGTTGGATTATAAAGATTATTTTGAAGCTAAATTCAATATTGCTGTGACCTGGACCAGAACCAACCAGTGTAACTAGTGTTTCTCCTGTTCCGTGGGTCAGGTCCGTCTCACGAACACGTCTCAGGTCTGGACGATGTGAAGTACATGGTACGCCTCCTTCACGCCGCTCTGACGTCTCCTCAGCGGCAGCAGGACAAACACTCAGAGTTGATGAGGAAACGGGAGGAGATCCAGCAGCAGCTGATGCCCCTGGAGACGGTAAGACATCACCCCCCACTCCTGTCCCACAAATGTCCCCCCCCCCACAGGCCGAAATGAGCAAAGCATAAACAAGGACAGACCCACATCTGTCTTGTGGGGACATGTCAAAATACTGTATGTCCTTTTTGAGTAGTTTAGACATGACTGTGTGTGTGTGTTTGTGTGTGTGCACGTGCATGTTCAGGTAAAGCTCCAAATGGCGAAGGAGGCATACTCAAAGGCGTCCATGTTGGGGTGGGCGGGGCTTGCCTACCTGTCACTCCAGGGAGGTTTCCTGGGCTATCTTACCTGGTGATTAACACACACACACACATGTACACGCAAAACTCTTCTGGACTGACTCCAGTTGTAGTTTTATTTTGGTTTGTGACTAGATTTTAGCTAACTGTTAGCTGTTATAAACTATCTTGGCGTAATGATAGCTAACTTGTACTAGCCTTTTGGCCTTAGCTTTGTAATGTTGGCTGTACTTCTGTGTGTGTGTGTGTGTGTGTGTGTTAGGTATGTGTTTGAATGGGACACCATGGAGCCAGTGACCTACTTCATCTCCTACACCACCAGCATGATCTTCTTTTCCTACTACATCCTCACAAAAGAGGTAAGAGGTTCTAGAACGTCTGTTTATCTGTTGCTCACAAATTCACGTGACTTTGTCAACAGATGTGTCTGTGTGTGTGTGTGTGTGTGTGTGTAGGACTTTGTTGTTACAGATGTCAGAGATCGTCAGTTCCTTCACTTCTTTTACCGCAAAGCGTTGCGTCAGAGGTTTGACGTTCAGAAGTACAACATGCTGAAGGATGAACTGGAAAAGGCGAGAGAGCCACACACACACATGCACACACACACACACACACGTACTTTATAGGAGATATTGTTAATTTTTTACTATATATAAATTCTGTTTTGAACTTTGTAAACCATAAAAAGTTTGGTCAAAATTGACAAAATTGTGTGTGTGTGTGTGCAGGTCACACATGACCTGAGGACTTTGAGAAGCTCAATTCGTCTGCTGCGGCCACACCATGAGCTTCACAGACAATCCTGAGAATTTCATCTTTTTTTTTCCAACCCTTTTTTTGCACAGCCCTGTTATGTTCACACTAAAGTGTTAATTTCAAATCCTTCAGTTAATGTAAATTGAAAATAAAGGAATACATTGTTTAAACTGTAAACAATACCTGCTGTACTTTCAAGTACAAGTTTCAAGGCTTTCAAGTGTGTTCTCTTGCCCCCTGGTGGGACCTGACGGAACTGCAGGGTGTCATATCAGTAAAAATGTTCAAACACCTGATGTAGGCTCTTCAGTGATAATTAAACAAACGCAGGTGAGCAGAGGTGTTCGTGAAGAGTTCCAAAAGACAATACTGTGAATACTGTCTCAGGTGTTTGAAAAAGACTGTGTTTAAACAGCTTTATTTCACTTCAGAGAAGAGGAGAGATTAGTTCGACAACAGAAAACATTTCATCGACAGATGGAAATTGAAGAACTTTGAGTCAGTTTGAAACTGTGTGTTTGTGCATCATCAAGAATTAAACCTAGTGACTGTTGCCCAACCGGTGTGAATTCGGATCCACTCGAAGAAATGAGCCACCTGTAAGAGAAGAAGAAAAAACATCAAAACAGTCACTACCAGACAAACTGGAACAGCTTTACAAAATATAGACAGATATATATATATATATATA